ATCTCAGCCAGTTCCATGTAGTCCATCAACTGCGTCTGCCACTCCTCCAGCGTGGGTAAATCTTGAGTCTTCCAGTGCTTTGCAATAAGGATTCTTGCTGCTGTAGTAGCGTACATAAACAAAGTTCTGTCCTTCTTTAACACCTTCTGGTCCACCATGCCCAATAGGAAGGCCTCTGGTTTCTTGGGAAAGGTATACCTAAATACCTTTTTTAACTCGTTGTAAATCATTTCCCAGAAGGCCTTCACTTTTGGGCAGGTCCACCAAAGATGGAAGAATGTCCCTTCTGCCTCTTTACATTTCCAACATTTATTATCAGACAAGTGGTATATCTTAGCTAACTTGACTGGGGTCATGTACCACCGGTATATCATTTTCATAATGTTTTCTTTCAAGGCATTACATGCCGTAAACTTTATACCGGTGTTCCATAACCTTTCCCAGTCTTCAAACATAATGTTGTGTCCAATATCCTGTGCCCATTTTATCATGGCAGATTTAACTGTCTCATCCTGTGTATTCCATTTAAGCAGCAAGTTATACATTTTCGAAAGTGTCTTAGTTTTTGATTCTAACAATTCCGTCTCTAATTTCGATTTTTCCACCTGGAAACCAACTCTTTTGTCCATTTTAAAAACCTCTTGGATTTGAGCATAATGTAGCCAATCCCGCACCTTATTTTTTAGTTTGTCTTGGCTCTGCAACCTCCATTTGTCTCCAACTTTTCAATTATTTCCCAATATTTTGGCCAATAGGCCTCCATGTTGGGTCTTTTCCTAGCCTTGGCCTCCATCGGTGAAAGCCATCTCGGGGTCTTGCCCTCCAGTAAGTCTTTATATTTCGACCAAACCGCAAAGATTGCTCTTCTGACAATATGGTTTTTAAATAATTTATGAACTTTGACCTTGTCGTACCACAGGTAAGCATGCCCAACCAAAGCCATTGTCAAACCCTTCCAGATCCAGGACATCATGTTCGTCCAGGCCAGGAAACCACATCCTTCAGCGCAGCTAAAGGCTGCAGCTTCATAATACAACCTCAGGTCCGGCAGGGCAAACCCCCCTCTTTCTTTCGAATCAGTTAATATTTTAAACTTTATTCGGGGCTTTTTGCCCTGCCAGACAAACTTAGATATATCCTTCTGCCACTTTCCAAAACATTCCACTCTGTCCACGATCTGTAGGGTTTGAAACAAAAATAACATTTTCGGCAATACATTCATCTTTATAGCTGCAATTCTGCCCAACAAGGAAAGTTTCAACTTGACCAAATTTCCAAATCCTTCTTAATTTCCGACCAACATTTTTCATAATTGTCTTTAAATAAATTCAAATTTTTCAGTCAAATGAACCCCTAGGTATTTCACTTTTTTAACAACACTTAGTTCTGTTTCTTTCTGAAACCCCTCTGTTTCTGTAGGTGTCAAGTTTTTGGCCAAAACCTTGGTCTTTTGCTTGTTCAGCTTGAAATCCCGCCACCCACCAAATTCATGAATCAGTTCTAAAACTCTTTTTGTACTAGATACTGGCTCCTGTAATGTTAAGACTAGATCATCTGCAAAAGCTTTCAATTTATATTGTTTCACTCCGACCTCTATTCCTTGTACCGACCGGTCCTCCTGATCATGTTCAATAGCACCTCCAGGACTGAGATAAATAAAAGAGGAGAGCATGGCAGATTTCAGGCCAACAGAATTTTTGGATCAGTGTTCAGAGTAATGGAAGTTAAATAGAATACTGTCAGTATTCAAGTTTTTTGTAGCCTGAAACTGTAAGTGGATTCTGTCTGGACACATCCTCACCCTAGCAGGCGATAGTGGTGCTGTTGAAAAAAAGAGAAGCTTTTGACATTATCATTGTGAACTATTTGTTTGAATTTCACAGTAGAGAGAGATAATTTACTTTGGTTCTATGGATCTTGGCACTTTCTCATACAATATATAATTTTTATTTTCTGCCAAAGTGTTAGGTGTGCTCATTCAGGAGCCATGGGGCAACCAGAAGGCCACACCCATTTGCAGAGCGGACATGGATTTTGTCCTGTTTATAGGTGGGATAAGACTAGGAAATGTTAAACTTGTCCCTTTATGTCTGGGGTATTTCTGATTTCCTTGAACTGACATTACGAAACTTGGTAATGATAATGATGTGGACTCAAATCGTTGCTGAATGTCACGTGTGTGTGTGTTTTTAAGCATTTTGCTTAATTGTGCGTTGTGCTCCTCACTCAAACCAAAAGCCCCAAACCGGACGTCTCTCAAAGCAGTGCTGTGCACATACAAATAATTGTTGTAAACTGCAGGCCACTTTACAACACTAGCAGCTCTCTCCTCTCACAGATATAATAAAAGACCCGTCGGCTGTTCCAACAGGATGCTTATTTGAATAGCAATTATACAACATTCTTATCAGATATTTTGTAACACCCATAGCTGCAAGGTTAGTGTGGGACTCCACAACATGCTTTTTTGGCCGTGGGCGGCTTTCCACATTTCTGGTTGTCAGCTGTAACACAAACACAGGAAATTTTGCACCTATAAATGTAGCAGAATTCTTGTCATGGCTCCTGTAGGGAGCTCTTTCCAAAGGCTTTATGATGGTGAAACGGATTCTTCCACTCACCCACGCATACTAGCTGACTGAAGAGCGACACGGGCTATCATGGAAATATCTGTCCTTTTGCTTTTAGGGAAAGTCTAACACTGATACCATGAGCAACGTATATATTAAACTGAAGCTAGTCTGAAGGAAGAAATGACAGTACAGTGGTACCTCAGGTTACATACGCTTCAGGTTACATACACTTCAGGTTACAGACTCCGCTAACCCAGAAATTTTACCTCGGGTTAAGAACTTTGCTTCAGGATGAGAACAGAAATCGTGCTGCGGTGATGCGGCAGCAGCACGAGGCCCCATTAGCTAAAGTGGTGCTTGAGGTAAGAACAGTTTCAGGTTAAGAACGGACCCCCGTAACGAATTAAGTTCTTAACCAGAGTACCAGTTGTAGCAGTAATATTCTG